GGAAATGATTGTGAAAATGCTAACACACATACACATGGTGGTGTACACTTGGTGGTGTTGGCACTTTTACAAAGGAGGTGGTGTTTGCAGGGGTGAGATGGGTTTGGGTCCCTCTCTCGGGAAAATAGAATGCCTATTTTCTATTGCGCCGGATGCAAGTTCTTGTGGTTAGCACATTGGAGCAAGGGTGATGAAGTTAGAAGTGAAAACGAGTTAGTCACGAAGATCTTTGGCGTCGGTCAATCGACCGGATATTTGGATCTGAATGCACCGGACGCCTGGCAGTGCTGCGTCCGGTCAGCCGACGATCGATGACGCAGCAAAGTGGAATGTGACCGGACATGGTTGCTGCGTCCGATCAAGTGTGACCGGACGCGTCCGGTCAAGGTCGGTACCTTATCGAAACGACCGGACGTTGGGGGTTCAACGTCCGGTCGGTTGAAAGCTCTGCTGCGTCCGGTCAAGTCAAGTGACCGTTGGAACCGGGACACATGGTCGTCTGCAGGCGATCGGACGGACGCCGAGGTCCAGCGTCCGGTCAACTCGACCGAAAGCGTCCGGTCGGCCCGACCGCTGCCCAAATGAAGGGTAATGACTAGTTTAGCCCTTGGGGCTATAAATAGAAGTGGCCCTCGGCCATGGTCAGTCCGAGCACCTCAAGGGACTTAGTGTCCATGCTTGTGAGTGCTTGGGAGTCCTCCATCATACATATACTTGATAGTGATCATTCGATTGTGTGAGTGAGCGATTCTAGTGCGATTGCATCGTGAGGTTGCATCGAGTGGCACTAGGGTGGTCGTGTTGCAAGCCGGTGGTGCTTGTTACTCTTGTAGGTTGCCACCTCCTAGACGGCTTGGTGGTGGTCTCCGTCGAAGCCCGCAAGAAGAAGCTTGCGGCGCGCTCAGGAGAAGTGCTTGTGAGGGGTACTTGTGCTCGCTTGCATGAGTCGCGAAGAGCAACTTTAGTAAAGCGTGTCATTGAGCTACCCTCACTCAAGGGGTAGGTTCTTGCGGTGCTGACGTGCGGGCTTAGCGGGTGATGCTAATTAGTCAGCCGAACCACCAAGTGAGCGGTCGACACAACGGGGACTAGCGTGTTGGCAAACACGTGAACCTCGGGAGAAAAATCATCGTGTCAACCTTGTTCTTCCGTTGGTTTGCATCCCCATTACACAAGCTTGCAATTACTTATATATATATATATATCTTAAGCTTGTGTAGTTGCTCTTGTAATTAGATAGCTTGTGTAGCTAGCTAATTACCTTCTTGCTTGTGTAGCATAGAAGTAGCTCCCTTGCGTGGCTAATTTGGTTTTAGTAACCTTGTTAGTCACATTGCTTAGTTTGTGTAGCTAAGTATTTGCGCTCTCTAATTAGGCGTTGGTTGCCTTGTTATTGAGCATTGCTAGTGAGCTTAGTTAGCTTTGTGCTTTTGCTTACTAGCATATGTAGGAGCTCCCTTGTTACTTAAAGTACTAGTGGCATAGGTTTGTGTGACCTTGCTCCTAGAATTGTTTAGGAGAGCTCTAGCTAGCCCGGCACCTTAGTTGCATAATTAGTATCTTGGCAAGGTGCTAGTGAGCATATATAGAGGGGTGTAATCTTGGCTAGACCGATTGTTTTAATTCCGCATTTATATCGGTTAGCCGATGCGATTAATTTTAGAAAAGACTATTCACCCCCCCCTCTAGTCCGCCATCTCGACCCTTTCAAAGGCCGGCCCACAAAGGGCTTGAGGTCGTCTCACGTCAAACAGAGCCAGGGGAGAAAATATAGATGAGCCCCAGCGGCCCTCGCCCGATCTGCTCAGAAGCGGATATGGTCAACTCGACCTTTTTGTTCGATCCTGACCTTGAGCCATGCCCACAGAATCTCCATCGAGGGGAGGCCAGCAGGCCACCTGAGTTGGTCTTCGGAACGGCTCGAGCATCTGCCGGGAGGCGGGTTAAGGAGCAGTGAAATGCCACATGAGGGCTATGTCGACCCCGTTACGAACGGCGGACCCAGATTCTACTCGGACATGCCCGTTAGTGAGCTCTCCAAGTGTGTCACTCGAGCCATCGAGGCAAGCGATGTTAGCTCAACCCCTCCGGTTGTGGAAACCGCGGATGGGGTGACGCATGAAACTCGACCGACCCCTACCGAGCCCAACGGGGCTCGGGAAATCGGGCCACCCGACCCTAACTCGGCAATCCAACCGACTGCACAGGTCGTAGGCGGGACGAACACGGGCGAACACCCCGACTGGCAGAAGATGGACTACCGACGAGTTCCCCCCCTTTTGGGGGGCTGGGCGCCTATGTCTACTCGACGTGCCTCTGTGGCCTTCGCCGGTCCCCTCATCAAGGGCTCGGTGCCAATATACCCCCTGGCGCGCCTTCGTGGTCTTCGTCAGTCCTCCCCGTGGAGGCGGGGCGCCTAAATCCTACTTGGTTACCCTACGCGGTACAACAAACCAAGGGGGAATACACCAAAGTTCCAATAAACAGCCCGTCTCCATGACACAATGGGCACATGAATTACAAAGCAAATACAAGCTTTCATTAAGCTAGACACAAGCCCCAGGCTTTTACAATAACACGCAAAGCGTGTGTGAACAGCCCCAGGACTGCTCCGCACCTTGGGGCATGAAGCGAAAACAAGGGAGCCAAGATCCTTGTTCTCCCGCCACAATGCTCTCCTCCCTCTCTCCATCCTCTGATCCAGAATTCGGGACAGGGGCCCGTTCGAGACGTACGATGCTCTCTCCTTACAAGAGATCTTCAGCATCGTACTCCCATGCGCCCTCAAAAGTGGCGACCCAACAGCCCTTTCACGGCTTCACAGAAGCCCCAAAGGGGCTCGGGGGCTCTTGTCGGGTTCATAAACCCGAGATCCCCAATAGACCCGCTTCTCTGCAATACTTGGCCCAGCAGGCAACGTAGCGATAGCACGCGTCTAGACCGACCTAGATACACAATGACAGGCTAAGACCACGATCTGGTCCCCGACCGACACCTCCAGCCAGGAGACCTGGTCGGAGCCCCAATCGAAAGGCCTGGCCACAATGGGACCACAGTCCGACTCCGACCCCGTTCCTCCGACCGAGGATATGCCGGACATTTGCTCACCTCTCTTTCCCGACCAACATGGTCGGGGCCGACTGGGAACAACCGATCAGGACGCCTGCTTAGTGTGGACTCAGGGAGCAGGCGGAGCAGATAAGGTAAGGCGCTCAAGTCAACCGCAATATCGAGGACCGTACCCTGTCATGCCCTGCACACCCGCAGGACGATGCAGGACGGTGTTGTCAGGCCATGTCAGACAGACACTATACAACCTACCAGACGCGTCAGAGCACAAACAGTTTGTGGGCGCCGTCGTTTGTCGTCCCTAACGAACACTGTGCAGTCTGTCAGGTCATGAACAGTAAGGTGGGCGAACACTGTGTTGCCTGTCAGATACAGTAGGTCATAAACAGTAAGGTGAGCGATGGCGTGCCGTATTCGACGATGTGGGCAACAAGGCTATGTAGCACCTATACACACTATCTCCCATTCCGTCTTTGACTTGTAAGACCATCTCCTTCATCTATAAAAATGGATGCACTCTCTCCTAAAAAAAGGACAACAGCTTATCAGCTTTAGAGCTCGATAGCTACACAGTCCACACGTTCTCAACAGCGGATAAGCTCGGACACACAGAGTAAACGCTCGAATACTTAGCGCATGTTTGAGCATCCGTCACTCTCTTCCACTCGGATCAGAGTCCGACCGGGCCTCTAACACTCCCCTTCTCATTACTTACTCGTTTGTAACCCCACAACAAACTTTCAGCACCTAGGCTCAGGAATAAAGTCACCGACCGACTGAAATTGGATGTAGGGCACGTTGCTTGAACCAGTATAAATCATATGTCATCGCATGCTAGACCACATCCGATCACAGCGCATGGCAAAACTACAAATATTTACTTGTCGGCCACATTTCGCACCGACAAGACCATAGTTGAAAAACCGAGAAAATTGCAAAATTCCCCGCATTTCACGTAGCCCTCATATAAGATGTTTTTATTGTAAATGCACACAACACGCTCTATGTATTTCGTTACAAAACCACTCTCTACGCATGTGCTGAGCTATCGCCAAAGTGGAGCCAATATAAGTTTTGCTAGACGAGTTATGTTGCTGTAATGAAATTTTACAAATAGTAAAAAACAGTACTCGTTATTAGGTTTGTACTTTTAGAATTATCCAATTTCGATAAAAGGTTACACTATCGGCTCCATGTGTGAGAAAAAGAAGCGAATACAAAAACATATAGATTTTTTTTTGCAAGGAAATATGAAACATATATAAATATGATATTGTTAAGAAACATCTTATTTGTCGGAATCTAGAATCGAGAGCAACATAGTGGACGTTTCTAAATTCTCCCAAATCTATAAAATGTCTTAATATTGAAGTTTAAATTTCCAAATGGGACGGAGTCAAGCTTTTCCTCTGTTCGCTTATGCTGAAATTTGGCTTTATACTGATACTTATGCTGAAATGTTGTTAGAGAAAACACTGTTTGATGACTGAAAAGTAGCTCAAGCGAACAGGGTAAGAAGGCGCGACCCATGTTTCAAGGCTTCACTTTTCTTGAATCAATTCCCAGATCGCAATAGACTCCTATTCAAAGTTTAGCGATGGGGAAAATATAACGCTGCCTAATTCATGTAGAGAGACAGAGACTCGAAACGTGCATCTCGCTCGATCTTTGGATCTAGGGACAGTGGGACACAAAACGCGCTGAACCCAGCACAGGAACCGACCGAGCCACCGAACGGGGAACCGCCGCCGACACGAGATGGGACTGATCAGAGCCATCCGACAGACACATGTAAAGAAGAGCGCGGCCTCGCCTCCCCAAACCAAACCGCACTCTTCCGTCCTCCCCTGTGCCCTCCGCTGCGCCTTGCCCTCCTCCCCACTCGCGCGACAAGCCTGCAGAGCAGGCGATCCCGCCGAGCGGCGGCGACAATGGCGGACGACGACTACAACGAGATGGACATGGGGTCTGCCTCTCCACCCACCGAGCCTCTTCCCTCTTCCCACCGTCCCTCCTACGCGTGTCGCATGAGCGCAGGAAGCTAGGGTTGCGGCGTTCTCAAGGGATTAGGATATATTATACTAAATCCTGGGGTTAAACCAATAATCATTGGTCTCGCTCGGCGTTTTGGTTCATTCCATGGAAACATATTGGGGGGAAATCTCATGATCCTGTGCAGTTGTGCACAGTAAAGCATGCCACGGCAAACAGGCTTCCAATAATTACTGTTAGATGGTTTCTGAAATTAGTCGTTGGCCTGCTATCAGTTAGATGGCTGTAGGTTCCTTTGTTTCGCAAATTGGGAAGTTTTAATTGTTCATCCATGTGCATGAATTGTGTGGACTGAAGTTTTCTGGTATATGGATGGATACGGTAGCAGAGTTCCTTAGAGTTAGACGTTTCATCATGGTACTGATTGGTGGAAAGGAGGTGGCCATTCTTATCCTGTACTTAATCCTCGATTGTTGAATTGATTTGAGGCGATTGTTGGTTGCTTAAATAATAGAGCAAATGAATGAGCTGCTCTTTGGTTTTATCCGAGCAAGGGCTGTACCTTTTGTTTGTGAAGAAAATTACTTGTCTGTTTATGCTCTTAAAATCTTGCACTTGCCTGCTACATCCTTCATCGTTAGTTTCTCAACCTAATCGATAGTCCTTGTTTTTGTTTTGGAATATCTCTGATACTGTTTGATGTTATAGGATGTTTGTCTGAGCTCAGATGGATTCATGTTTCTTGGTATCTATGTAATTGTAAAGTTTTAGTTGCTCACAAGTTGTCTGAAACATGTGTCCCTTGGTGATGGTTGTTGTTTTTTTTTAACATACTTGCTCTAGAATCTTCTCTGAAATTGGTATGCATAACTTACTAATTTCGAAAAAAAATATGTCCCTATGAGCTAGGTACAGTATTTTTTATGAATCCTTTTTACTTGTTGCAACTGGGTTGATAAGTCCTCTGAAATCAGGATGCAATTATGATTTAAGCATATTCTGTGGTTATAGAAAATATAAAAGAGAACTTTATGCTGAGTGCTCTAGTGGGGCGGTGTGGGTGATTACTGATTACATGACTGAAAGATATGTATCAACTATCCTTTTGCATGTAGCTGGCTGATGTGATTTACACAACCATTGGTACTTTGTAACTGTGGATCTTCATATATAATATAGAATCTTGTTTGTTTCAGGTATGAGGACGAGCCCCCAGAGCCAGAGATTGAGGTGCATGACTGTGTTTTCTTCAGTGCTCACTTTATCATGTGTTTGTTAGAGGGAGGAATTCTGATTGACTTAGTTTTTATGAACAGGAGGGGGCTGAGGAGGAGCTTGAGAATAACAACGAGGACGCCCCTGATGATGTGGTAGGGGCAGAAGCTGAAGACAAGGAACAGGAAAAGACAGCACGCACGTGCAAAACAACAAAGTATATGACAAAGTATGAGCGTGCACGCATTCTTGGTACGCGTGCTTTGCAGATTAGGTATGTTTTGTTTCTGTGTATAATACCATTATATAGATTCTTCAGGGAAACTTAAGTTGACATTGTCAATTACTTTACAGCATGAATGCTCCAGTTATGGTTGAGCTTGAAGGGGAGACTGATCCTCTTGAGGTAAAGTTCTGTGTGACATGCAATTGGGACTGGCCCACTAGAATAACTTGTCTTCTATAGTTATTTTGGCTGTTAATTTTCATATACCACAAACAACTTTCTTTGATTGAAAGATCACAACCTTTTATCGTCTTTTATTTTTCGTAAATAACATTTTACCTTCTGAATTAAAGGTTGGATGATTGGATCTTTTGAATACTTGAGTGTGTAAAGAAAATGCACTCTCTGTCTTGTGATAGTGTCCATTTTTTGTGAATCTAGCTTACATCCAACTGCCAACAGATGAATGTGTTTTATGATGAAACTAGTCAGAACCCAGTAATTCTCATATGCATGCTGCCATTCTGGTTGAATGGGAATTTTTCTATTTCATTGCTAGGCTATGATAGTATACAGATGCTGATGATGAAAGTGACGGTTTTCATTTTACCAGTATGATTTTGAAGTATTAATTTTCTTCTTTGGGATCTCATTATTCCAATTGCTTGTATGCAACCTAATTATATTGTTGACCATGTTAAGTATTTTAACAGCATTCATTCATTATAGATCAAGCACTAAGGAATGAAGACAGTGATTATTCTTTACATGCTAATATGCTAAAAATTAATGGCTTGTAGTTATACCATTTCTTTTTCATTTTGAAGCCTTTTGTTTTATTCGTGTGGCTAGAAAGGATAAAGTCTTTTCTCATTCTTACGTCTCTACTAAGATTGTGTTTCTTCGATATCTGTATTAAGTGATAGCTTTCTATCTAAGCGTTTATTTCTGTATTCCTGTTGGACTTGAAAGATTCTTAATGTTATACTATTTCTAATTTCTATCACAATACAATTGTTTAGATAAACGATTCACATTCTTGGAAGTTTTTCAGTAAAATATGATGATTTTGAAAGTACAATTAATATGCCGTACCTGTACCCATATATGAAGTTACTTCTATTATCAGTCAATTAATGGCTTATGAAAAAAGTGCAGAAGGTTTAATTACATCTGAATTAATCCTTCATGGCAAAACATGGTATGCTGTTTTATGGAAGCAGATTTTGTGCAGTTTTATAATAGGAAAAGTTGTCACCATTGAGCAAATATTTTAAGCTCCAAGCCTTTGACAAAACGAAATTAAAACCAGTTCAACCTCAAACTGTCAGCTCTTATGTGATTGAAATGTTTCAGTCCACCCATATGTTTATATGTGATGAATTGATATACTTCTTGCTTGTGCTACTTTAGATTGCCATGAAAGAATTGAGAGCACGCAAGATCCCATTCACAATCAGGCGATATTTACCAGATGGAAGGTGGGTTCCTTCATTTAGAGAAGCAAACATTTATGTATGATCTATATTCAATATAGTTGAAATGTTATTTGCATTGTTTTGGCACAGCTACGAGGACTGGAGTGTTGACGAGCTTATCGTGGAGGACTCCTGGAAACGTCAAGTTGGTGGCGAATAGCGCTATGGTGCTCAGGTCCAAGTCCTATGTTTACATGCATATCTTCTAAATGGCGGTGAAAATTACAACTAGCGCAGAATTGTGGCTGCAGTGGTGAACTGTTCTGCAATTGTAATGTTTGTGTGACCTTGCCCTTGTACTTTGGGTTTTGGAATGATGCAGTCGTACTGTATCTCCGTCATGTCTGATATAGGTTCATGAGCCTGTTTTGATCCTATCAATTGGGGCCGGAACCAATAATTGGAAACTGATTCCACCAAATTCCGTTTGGCTAGCTGCCCCGAGAATTGGAAACGGATTTCAACTAATGATAAGAACTTTAGTTTCTTTATTACTCACAAAAATTCCTCCCCAGAACCTGGCATTCGCATTGAAATTGAGCCTCCCCGGACGGCTGGTGATCTTGAAGCTCGTCCCTCGCCATCGTACGCTTAACTGTGGTCGAGTACTGCTACCCATTGGGTACTGATGGCATGCCGCAAACCTATGCTACTCCCACCTTCCACTCCACGAAAGTCATCCTTCTTTGTCCTCTCTATTTTTGGCAAATTCCTTGTCTGTGTTAGTTGCAAGTAGAACTATATTATTCCATCTGATTTTTTCTTACCTTGATCTGTAGTATTTTATTAGGATCTTGATCTTGTTTGGACTTTGTAAGAAGAATTTTAATCTGACAACTCTTCCATAGACTACTGCAACTGGGAAATCTAGGGTTTCTGCTACATTCCGGATGATATCCAAACAGGAATGTTAGAATTTGAATCAAATTACTATTGATTTTCATTCATAGTGGAATGGAAAAAGAATCTGATTTTCCAGATTTTTAGCATCCAAACTGGGCCTAAGAAAATTTGCATGTCTCCTTCATAAATCTCCTGAGGTCAAAATCACTCTAATTTTTTTCAGAAAAGCAAAATGCATCGTTAAGTACTTCATTTAAGTATTACTTACCTAGTGCAGTAGTCTTGATCTCTAGTTAGACCATAGTGCTATAATTGAAGCCTTGTTTAGTATAATTGATTATCTCATAGCATGGTTCTTCGTTCCTTCGTGGATGCTTTAGTCTTATCTTTTTCCGCGAGATTAGAGTACTATCATATAGTGTAAACATCATGCTTATACTATTGGGTACCTTAGTCTACAGCTAGTCCCACGGATAGTTGTGGTAATTAGCCGATGATGACATAATCTGCGGCTAGTCTCACGGATAGTTGTGGTAATTAGCCGATGGTGACAACCATGTCTATCCTATCAGCCTGTTTGCTGGTTGGTTCCTGGGCTGATAAGCCTGGCTGGTGCTGGTTTATTGTGAGAGGAAAACACTATACCATGGCTGATAAGCCCTGGCTGAAACCAACAAGCGAACAGGGCCTATGTATTCTCCATAATATTCTTGTCTATGTCTATCAACCATTCTCACCCCTTTCTATTGGTGTGTTGGTCTGTACCCCGAAGTGCTATCGAATCCTAGCTTATTATTTATTGGCATAGTTATTATATCTCTATAGTTTGATACTAGAGTTATTCTCGTTGTAGTCACTCGTTGTTCTCCCACTAGCTACGCCGTTTATTCTTCAATACTCTTCTATTCTTCTGTGTCACACTACTCTTTTATTATCGTTACCCCCATTTAGAGTCGGGTAACTGATGGTGGCATAATTATTGGAAATCGTATCAATCAATTCTCTTAGCCATACGCTTTTCCTGAGGATATAAATATGATACCCTAGAATACTCTTGGGTGAAGCTACATCGATATTGTGTGTGTTTGTGAAATTTTTCATTTGAGCATAAGAAATATCAACAGTTGGCTTTCACCTGGACGAATATATGTCAATGCAATTCTGGTCCATCGATGTTGGCTTTCTTGTTTGTTTTGACTGTTGCCGTTACTCCACACTCAGGGTTCTTGTTGTTCTATTGTAATATCCAGTCTAGTACTCTAGTTTTTTCTTCTTTTTAATATAAATAATGAGTATGTCTCCTGCTGGGTTCGGTTAAAAAAAATGGATGAGCCTCTTCTCCAACCACTACACCAAAACCAAACGAGGATGCAAGGATGACGACAGATGTAAATTATTGGCCCTGTCCGTTTTGATAAAATTTGGTTTATACTGAAATGCTGTGAGAGAAAAACGTTGTTCGTTCGCTGAAAAGAACTGCTGAAGTAGTGCAGCAGAACCGGGCCAATCTCATTGGTATAAGCATGTTGTTCTCATTGCTTGTGAGGAATCTGGAGTGTATGGACTTCCTTTTTTTCTTTGTATACTCCCCAGCATTTTTCTCTTGAGATTCCTATGGAAGATTGGACAGTTCATCATATCTAAAGTGGCCACGTGATACGTAAACTTTAGGCCCTGTTTGGCAAAAACGTCTGATGCTAATGCTGATTTGTTATAAAAAATACTATTATTTCGCTGAAATGATACCGCTGATAAGTTCAAAAGAACGTGTCCTTAAAAAGACGGCGACTCCTATACCATCTCCAATAAACTTTAAAAAGTGAGTGCTAAAAGTCTTGTTTTTCAAAAAGCCATGGTGGTGATTGATGAGGACATCCCTTCCATTGATACAACCACACCTGCTGCACAACAAGGTCCAATGACAAGAGCTCGAGCACGACAACTTAATTATCAGGTAAAGTCGTTCCTCGCTGTTCATACAAACTCGTCTCAGAATTGGATGCTACTAAATCATGGTGATGATTGTCTTATTCTTAGGAATGTTGGTCAAGACCCCATTGCCTCATGTTTAGACCCCATGATGAGGATGGAGCAGCCGAACAAGTGGGAATCATCATTAATGGGGACTTTCACTCATCTCGAGACAATGAGGAAACACTCCATCAAAAGTACCATAACTCCTTGATACGAGATCCAATGAAGCTGGTTTTTGACTTGTTGGAAAGAAGCGCGTCGTCCTCTTTCGGATGGATCCAACCCCACTATCGAGAATCTCACAAGCTATGCGCAGCAAGCAAAAGGACACACAGACCTACTGACTTGGGCCTAGGCTTTGTCTCGACATCTGACCCATTGAGGGACGCCCAGATTAGGGTTTCCCACTCCCCTTGTGCTCTCCTCCTTATAAATAGAACCAGCAGACCATTAGAATGAGGGTGGGTTTTGTTTAGATGCAAGATAGCTGCTGCTTCTTCCTTGTAAACGCGTGTGTCGGCTAGACCACCCGATTTGCTTGTTTCAAGACCTCAACTTGTGATTCAGATTCAACCTTTGGCTTAAATCCGTGAGTTATTTGCTTGTTCATCTTGTTCTTGCTTGTTCTCGGTTGCTTGTAGGTTCATGGTGTTCTTGGCATGGCAAGAACATCACAATTGGAGCCGGTGTACTTGTTGCTAAGGTGCAGCAACCTTGTGGTCGTTGTAGTCGGACAGTCAACGTCGAATCCACCCCAAATCGAGTTTATCCACACTCACCAAAAGATCAGGAACAACCCCTTGTCCCATCATGTGGTAATCAGAGCAAGGTTCTTTGGTGAGTGATTTACCATTCATTACTTTACCTATAGTCCAGAAATATAAAAATAGGATAGAACTGAAATTCCAAACACAAGTTTGAGCCTTGCTGATATGCTTAGTTCTTTGCTTGTTGAGTTTGTGGTTTACATTGTGGTGTCAAGTGTTGGTTCTTAGGTTCTAATCCTTTAGAGTTTCGAGTTCTTGTCACGTTTCGGTCACCACACAATCCGCTGTTGCCTTTCCCCCCACTTTAGCTGCTGCAATCTACACCAATACCACCACCACCACCAAAAGCACCGCTGCTCTCTCCACCTTTTCGCTGAAACCCTCACCACCATCACCTTCAGCCGCGCTTACACAAACACTACCTTATGCATCTGTCCTTTTGGTGCAAATCTGAGTACACTTAGTTTTGAAAACAAGAGAGTTCAAATTGCATATTTGTACTACTTGTTGCAATCCTTATCCCTAGTAAAAGAAAGTCTATGCTACTTGCTGCATTCTTGTTATAATCATATTAAAAAAGTTCAGTTTGTGCTACTTGTCGAAAAGAAAAGAAAAGAAAAGAAAAGAAAAGAAAACACAATAGAAAATAGAAAGGAAAAGGAGGAAAGAAAGAAACAAAAAAATGGTTAAGTTGATGCTATTTACTCTCATCATTTCCATTGTTTGCTACTGTCCGGTGACAACATTTGTTTCTAGGCTCGCGTCTCTAGCACGGGTTTGTCTAGGACCAGCACGGTACTATCTTTGAACACTTATTCAACTTGCATTAACTAACGTGGTTTCAATTTGTACCTTGATTTTTTAAGCCACCCTGACTCCACAAATTATCTACAACATCATAGGGTTCTACTTGCTACTACTTGTGTTGTTCTTGTGTCGCCAACAACACCATCGCATAGCAAGGTAAGGACATGTAAGAACTTGGTTGCACATCTTTGAGAGAATGAAAATTGTTGTCACCTAATTCAGGTTAGTTGGTAAGACATATTTTCTTGTGATTCCCTTGTTGCATACTAACCATGGTAGGAGAAGGTGAAAGGACCCTCCACAATCACCTCGATCGAAAGCCTTCTTTGCAACATTTTGAACACAAAGTGAGGCTCCATCTTTGAACACCTTGATGAGGATGTTCGTGTCACCAATGAGCACCTTGGTCAATTGGAGACGGCTCAGATTGAGACCAACACCAAGTTGGCTTCCTTGGAAGGCACTCTTGGTTCTGTTAATACATCTCTTGTAGGTGTCTTGGAGCGATTGGAGAGGATGAAACATAATCGCTATGATGGTTTGAACGATTTAATCACAACAACAACAACACCATGGGCGGTGTTCTTTGGTCATGATGAAGAAGAATATGCAGCGGACATCGAGCTAGATGAGGAGGTGAATGGTCATCGACGCATCGAACAACATCGCCGCCGCCATGAGACAGGTGTCTCGCCCACCACGGCAAGAGGTGCGTGCCAATGACTCATTTGGAAAGATTAAATTCACCATACCGCTTTTGATGGTAGGT